CTTATGCTCCCAGTACTTCTGTTAGTCTCAAAGGTGCCACAGGACCCTCTGTTGCTTTTTACTTAGTCCTGCCTCAGCGCAGGGGACTGGATGGGATGACCTACTGAGGTCCCTTCCAGTCCTACATTTCTTTGACTCTATGTTCAGCCTCTCATGCCCAGTGCACCAATGCAGGCTGCAGCAGGGGCGGGATGAGAAAGGCCCAGTATAGGTCTGATGTATTTGAAGCTGAAATTATTTACTCCCCATTGTTAGGCCAAATGCAGATTTGCTGCCTATGGATGAGTTTTATTCTCCTTGTAAACAGACCCCACGCAACACTCCTGATAGTGGGCAGAAAACAATTGATGAGCTGAGCTTTTGGTGGAACAAAGGTTTTGTTCGGCTCTTCTCAACGTCCCTCTCTCCTTCCCTGGTGCTAATGTTTTTCTTCTTTGTCCTTCCTCTCCCTTTATTTTTTCTTAGCAATATGCATCCTGCCTTGTCTGAACGGAGGTCGCTGTGTGGCCCCCTACCAATGTGATTGCCCAGCTGGGTGGACTGGATCGCGCTGTCATACGGGTAAAACTACTTCTACTCACCTATGTTTCCTTTTCCAGCGTTTGTTGTTATCAGCACCAAGCAAGGCAATATAGAGGCATTTCACAGGGCTCTGTGGTAACTACTGACTGGCTCAGAAAAAAAAAATTATTTAATATTCCTGGAGGATTTGATCTCCACTGCTGCAGGCCATTTTCAGAATAATCTTGTTCTTGATTAGTCTGCAAAGCAGCCTGCTCCCATTATCAAGGGAGCTTTCTGTTAAGGACCTGCAGATAGAAGAGAGGATTCCCACTGCCCATTTCCAAGGAAAGGAATATTACCATATCACCCGACCAAGGACTGAGCAGAAAGCATGCGTCTGAATTATTGCCGGAGCGTAAGAGTTGCTGAGCATCCGCAGTTCACACTGACTTCAGTGGGACTGCAGGTGTTCCACATCTCTTTTCTCTGAGACATTTGTGTGAACACCAACCTTTGCATTTGTGTTTGTCACTTTGATTTATCCCACTGTCCAGTGTTAATTTGTGAGGAAAACGGTACCTAGCACAAATAAATATGAGCAGAATTTGAACCTGTCCTTTAAAGACCTTCATGTTCCTTAGTTTTCAGTAGTCACTTGTGGGTGACTGCTGACGGCATGGAGAAGAGGCAGGGGGAAAAGAGATGGACGTCTTAGTATGTTAGACAGTCTAAACTCAAGTGATGCAGTTTGTGCCTTGTGTACAATACATCAGTAGAGAGCTCAGACTTTCAATACTTATTGCTCGTTGTTTGTTTATTCCTTTGGAATACTTGAGCATCCATCCCTAGCTCTCAGTGTAAGCCGTGTTAACTACGTGTTCTGTATGTGGGGCAAGGTATGTTTAGCAGTGTTCTGGCTGTGCTAGTGAGCGGTGCTCTGCAGAGGTCCAGCACCCACACACCAGTTGCCAGAGGCATTCTGTCTTCGGAAGGCAGAGGAGCGAGGCAGACAGAATTATTATGCATTATGCAAACAGTGTGCTAGGTGCTTAGGGCAGAGTCCTTCCAAGAGGAGCAATATGCATAAGCCTCTATGACTGGACTCCTTAAAATGCTGTAGCATGAGCTCCCCTCAGCTCGTGCCACTAATGAGGTGCTTGGATGGTATCGGGACCAGGCCATATCCCCAGCTTTGCCTTCTGGAGTACTTCTAGAGTGCAGCAGCTCAGGTCTTGCTCACTCT